ACATCTGTTAGAGTCAGTCATTGTTTGTCCTGTGAAGGTGGGTGATGATGTGGGATGTCCTTCTGTATGCCGCAAATACATGTTACTTTTATTGGTTGATGAATAAAGCTGTTTTGGCCAATGGATGAGCAGAATAGACCTAGGCAGGAAATCCAGAGAGTTGGAGAGAAAGAGGACAAAGTAATGGAGATGCGATATAGCCACAATAGAAGTAAGATGCCAGAATATTACTTGTAAGCCACAGCCATGCGGTGATACACAGATTAGTAAAAACAGGATAATTTAATTGTGAGAACTAGTCAGTAATATGCCTAAGCCATTGGTCAAACAATTATAATTAATATTAAGCCACCGAGTGTTTAATTGATGAACTGGCAGGTGGGAGAAAAACCTCCATTTATAGGTGACTAACCCACATTCTTTTATCCTACATAAATCAACATGTTAACTAGAGCAAGCACGCATAGCTGTGCTACAGTTTTCAACCTCAGTGAAACTGATGGAGTACAATTATGTAATCCACAGTCCACAACAGATACCATCCACGGTCCCTGTGATGTTCTCTACAGCTATTTTTTTCCCTGCTGATGATCACTGCTGCGTGTAGGGCACTGACTCCTCTCCAGGCCATCTGTCCCATCACACTGTCTTCCAAGTAAACATTTTGTACTGGTGCCATCTCAAATTAGAAATGCCTAAAGTGTGGCTCATAAGTTCCCCATAAAAGAAGTCCTCCCCCAGCCCCATGTCTTACTCTTTACTGGTGTTGCAACTCTCCCCATTATGCTGATTTGATACTATGAATCATATTTGATTCTTTGTACCCAGTTAGCTATGAAAATGCTCTAAGCTCCTTTTGTGAAATGTCCCTTGTCTATATTCTGCAGGAACCTCTGTGCAACAATGCCTAGTATGTACACATGAAGCACATACTTCCCAGTTATCCTTATCTATAAAAAGCTCAGATAGTTCTTTCAAATCCTAGACCTGCCTCAGAGAAACAGGCAGAAATCGTGGTCTGGGTGGCACTGAATACTGGGCCTGACTGCAATCTGTAGTAATTCAAATATCTGTTCCTACATGTAATTCTAAACACTCTGCATTACCCTCTAAGGAAACATTAATCAAGGATTTTATGTATTCTGTTAGGGAACTGAGCATATCGTAACTGTCTGCAGCTAGTGTTTGAAGAGGAAAAGAGTCTAACTGGTAGATAGCCTTCCTACCAACTCTATCACAGTGGAAAACAACTCCTCATTCTAGATAAAACCTCATTTTGATGCCACAACTTAGTTATGATAAGGAGTATTCAGTCTAAATCACTCCCTCTCCCCATTTCTCCCTTTCTCTCTTTGCTCTCTCCCTCTTCTGTATCTACTTGCATTTTTTGTAAAGACAGTATCTCACAGTGTAGCCCAGGTTGTCCTCAAGTCAAGGCAGTCCTATGCCTTAACGTACTAAGTATGGGCATTATAGGAGTGAGACTCTGTGCCCAGCTCATGGGTGTTATAGGAGTGAGCCTCAAGATATAGTGGCTGAGTGGTCTAAATCACGGGAAAAGGAGTGAGTCACTGTGCCCAGCTCATTGTATTATAGAAGTGAGCCACTGTGCCCAGATCCATCTCTCTTGAAAATAATCTCACTTTCTCAAAGATTATCTCCCATTATCTGTGTGCAGTGAAGAACTAACAAATCAAAGCCAAGACTCCTATCCTTTCCAAGTTCTTGTTCTAAGGTTTGCCTGGCTTGCATCTGGAAACTTGACTTTCAGGATCACAATTCTCAGAATGGCTCCCCATGCCAAAGCTAATCATGCAACCTACATGTTTTATGCCAAACACCTGTTTTTCTTCTGGAAATATAAAATTTTGGTGCGTGTAGACTGGGGTTGGATGTGACCAGTGCTGAAAAAACCCTGGGCATGCAATCCTAATGAGCTTCCTCTGTAGAGAGGCTTTACCCTTGTCTGGGATAACGGTCCAGGGGTCTGCACCTGGTATCCTCTGGGCTTCGGCCAATGCACCTGTTCTCCATGCTCATTTTACTTTATATCCTTTTGAGATAATAAATCATGAGTCTGTGAAGAATCTAAACACACAACTGTGAGTCTTCCTAGAAAAATCATTAGACTCAAGGGGGATTTGAGGTTCTTGGTTCAACTTAATCTTCTCCCTAAAAAGATGAGAGAATGTAGTGTATTAAAAAATGACCAAAAATGTGCCCCACCCCACCAGGATGAATGCCTTTTGTTGAGGAGGAGAGTTTGTTTCCTACTGTGGAACCTGGGTGAGCTGTGTCTCTGCTGCAAATGGTGCTGCTTCACTTTTGAATCTAGACAATGAAAAGCAATGCACATTCCCCCTGATTCACTTTGTATTGTGTTCATTCTCAGAACTTGGTCATCACTGAGGAAGTCCATGCAAGCACCCAGGAAAGGCCTGTGCAGTGATTCCAGCCAGTAGCCTAGAGGAGATCCCAGAGGAAACCTCCCACCAACTACTAACCACTGTGAGGGAATGTTCCCAGGTCCTGGCCCTCAAGGCACCCTCAGTTTTCAGGCCATCATGGCTGATGCCCTAGATATTGTGTTAAGAGCTGCTGTCTTTGCTGTACCTTATTCAAATTCCTGACCCAAAGAATCTGGAGGCATTGTAGAATGGCCATTGTTTTATGCTATAGGAGTTGGAAGGCTTGTTATGGAGCAGCAGAGCTGGTAACTTTCCATAAGAGGGCAACTATCTATAGTGAGAGGTACATGTTCAGCATCATGATTCCTGAGAAGAGTGGAGATTACATGTGTTCTCTATCTGTCTCTGTCTCTGGCAGGGTACTCTAGGCCACCTGGTTCTCTTTCCTTGTTGTCATTAGTGGCTAACATAGATCAACACTGAAATTCACAGCCCCTTCCTTTCTAAAATGGGTGGAGATGGCTTGGCTAACTTTCCACTCTAATTGGTACCGTAGATGCCACTGAAGCCTCTGTGACTCCCATTTTGTCTCTACTCCAGTGTTCAACTCTGCATTTTTTATTAACACCCCTTTCCAAAACTGTAGCTCCTTCCAGATCTTGGCCTCCCCACGATACCCAAGGTGGCTCAGGATAGATGAATCTTAGAGGTCTCTTCTGCCTGACACTCCAAAATGAGAGGCTGTATTACAGGTCGCCAATTTTAAGAGTTCTCAACTGGGTTGGGGCCAAGAGACCTCTATGGTTTTCTGTTTTTATTATAATTCCCCCACTATACTTCTTCCTGTCCAGAACAAAGGGACCCTTCATGGTTAAGGAGCAGGGAGAAGTGAAACATTATTCTTGTCTGCTGTCCCGATTTCCTTCTCTTTCAATTTTTCTTCCTAAGGTTCCTCAGACTGTGTTTTCTCTCCCCGGCTCTTCCATAAATCATCAGAGTAAAGGATCCTTTCTGATATATTTAAGGGAACCCTGGGATCTGCTGTTTGATGGCTGGTGTTAAAACTCCTCAAGCCTGTTCATTTACAACAAGGATAATATCTTGCTGGGTAAAAATAATCTTGTTTTGCATGCCTCAAGTCAATATTACTTTGGTCTTTGACTGGTGTTGTTCTGAAACACATTTTACACCCCCTTTGAGCAAATGAGTGGTTACACACACTGAGGGGAAACGCATTAATGATTTTCAAATCATCTCCCCCTGTTTATTGGTCTGCATGGTACTCCAGCTTGCTTGCTCGCTCAGGACTCCCACTAGGCCAGTGTTGCTTTGGGGTCTGAGCTGCACTCACTGCAGGGTATCTGCTTTTTACATGTTCCATCTCAAGGCTTTTGTATTATGCTTTGGAAAGGTTCCTCGTTTTACTTCCCAGTGAGGAATCTAATCTTCTCAGTTCCTGATAATTTGTTTTTGTTTCTGAATGCCTGTGTTGTTCACCTGATCTGTTCAGCTCCTTCTGATTTCCAGACGTCTCCCCTGCCACCAGCTCATCCACTGTTTGCCTTCACTCCCACTCTCCAGTGTATGCTCTGCTGCCGTGGTTCTGACTCATTTCCTTGGTCCAAGGGTCTCGGTGTTCTCATGTTGCATGAGAAATTATGTCAAGATGCTTTTAGCACGATGCACAAAACCCAGCTTAAACTGGATCAGGCGGTAAAGGCAATCAATTGGTTCACATTTTTGAAACATTAGACTTTGGGAAAGGATCAATGCAATGTGTCCTGTTTCTAATGGACTCTCCAAACTGCTCTTTACAAGTATTGGCTTTGGGGACTGGAGAGACCCTGAGTTTCATGCCTAGCACTGAAAATAAATAAAAAGAAAAGAAAGAAGTTGATCTCATGATATACTGGCATCAGGGAAGCTTCCAGTTGTAATCTGGTCTACAAGATTCCTCATTTAGGTTGGCAAGGTCCCTAATGATTTGTTCTAATCTTTTAATACCTGCTGACTTGAGGAGGCAGTGAAAACACACCAATTTTCTTAGCTAAACTAGATTCTGCCCCTACTTCTCTTCTGAGGTCATTCTGCTTCACATTGGCAGCTCCACACTGGGAAAGGGAGCTCAGGGAGAGCTTGTGTGAGCTCTCAAAATTTTATGTGAGTGACTAAGTTCTTTCAAGTCCTCCTCAATTTTCTGACCTCTGGTCATTTGAAATGTGCAACAGGAGGGGTATTTATGCCATGGAACCTGGCCACTGTTATAGACTGGTTCATTTGTTCAACCAGCAGGCACGCTGTAATGCATGTTAAAAGGCAACAATCTTCTTAACTAGTTTCTCTGACTTTAGAATCACCCCCATCAATGCACATGTTGATTTTAAACAACACTTTTACTGAATTCATCCATTTTAAGTGTTTGGTTTGTTTCACTTTGAGTAATGTTTTCACTCATGCCATAGCATCCATCAGTATTTTATTTCTCTTGGTACTGAGCAATCTGTTTGCCCATCCATCAGAAGACACTGTGTGATTTATTGAGACCCAATTCCAACCATAGTTCTTAAATCCAGTCTTTTCTTCACCATGCAGGCCCTGCATCTTACTTGGGCTAAACAGAGCTGGCCCTGGTGGTGTCAACGCTGGTGAGCTGGACTGAGGGTGTAAGAGCAGGAGTCAGGTTGGCCCAGCTTCTTGATATCTGCTACATGGGATGGACTAATTAAGGCAGTGTTGGAAAACTCTCCTTAGTGGTGACAATGAGGGAAATCTGGCAGACTGACCAATGCAGCTACAACCCAGTCCCAGAACAAGGACTATGAGATAGCCCACCCCAACACCCACCTTATCTATGAACTGCTGGAGTATGTGAAGGGGCTGGACCTAGATGCAAAGCTACAGGATCTCCAAGACACAAAGCAACAATAAGATATCCAAGAGGAGTCCCAGTGAGGGACCCATTATCTTTAGTGTAGCAGAAGCCAAAATCCTTGAACCAGACCATGAACACTTGCAAGTAAAGATGTATGGGCTAAAGAGTGTACTGTGTGACTCACAGGACCATGCTACAGCTTCCATGCAGAGACTTTGTTTTGTTTTATTTTTTGTTGTTGTTTTACTTTTAAATTTTGTTTTGGGGGGTTGCAAGAGCAGGGGGTGAAAGCAAGGGAGTAGTGAGATGAGTGGGATTGGAATGCATGATGTGAAATTCATAAAGAATCAATAAAAAGTTTTTTAAATGCAGTCTTTTCTATCTCTAGTCTTTTATTACTTATGCTTCTAGAATTATTTCCCTAAGATATAACACTTTGACTTGTCATTAACATCATAAAAAATACATTGCCCTCTCTGCCTATGAGATGCTTCAGGAAGACACCAACCTTGCATTGGAAACACTCTTCAGTTTGACCCCAGTAAGGGAAGGAATGAGAAGATTCTGCTTCCTCTGTATGGGCCAATAATACAAAATGTCATTTAAAGTAATTGTATATGAATGATGGGCCATGTATCCCCCTATCCCTCCATCAAACATCCATCCATCCATCCAACCGACTGACCAACCAATCAACTGACCAACCAATGGAAAAGTTCCTCCATCCTGAAAATGGCACCCAATGGCAAAGTCAAAGTCCAAACCATGTAGAACAGGATCATGAACTTACTTTATGACTTTATGATATTATAGTTTATGCTTCTGGAGTAACCGTTGGTCTAATTCAGACAGATCTGGTTTGTAACCAGCCTCAGCCACTTAGCACTGATTTCCTATATGCTCTCTCCTGGGGCTTAGGAAAGCCTTTATTTATGTGCAAAATAGGAGTAAAAATCAAACCCCAGTATCCCATTATTGGATTAGAAGATATCAACTCTGAAGTATTGTGCTCAGTCCATAATGGGCACTTCACAGAGAAATGGACACTGTGGTTGAATATATAGTTAAATGCCATTCAAAAAAGCTAAGATGAGAGTGTCTTTCGTGTTCTCTAATGGTTTCATAGTTTGAGTGGTTTTATTTCCATCTTTTTCTGGTACTTTAATGTTAGAACTGACTTAAAGCAGAAATCAGGTGATCTGTTTTATCAGGCTTTATGTTGTAGATCTGCCATTACTCCAGGTATAATTAGGAAGACCCAGTGCTTTCTTGGGAAATGGTCAACAATGGCATCATATTTTATTACTAGGAAGCTTTTTAATGAAGTGGCCTAAAGATAAGCATCTTAAACTATATTTGGGCTGTTTTGAGTCAAATTTCTCATAGGAATGAACCTCAGAGATTGTTATTTACCATTGTGGAAAGCATGATTTAATAATTATTAAAGAATAATCCTGACTTGTAGATAAAAGATGTTGAAAGTAGTTAATCCTAACTACTTTGGTTTTTTTAGACTATCATAATGCTTCAATTGGCCTCAATGCTTGTACTTATTTAGAAAATTTGTACATGCATAATAATGTACAATTTTAAAGTCTAGTAAATCAATCTACTGTGAGTTAGATTCTTCTTTCAGGATTGCAACTACTTATAAATGTCTAGCCAGTGTTTGGTTGGTCTTCATTGAGACATTTGGTAAAACCAAATAATCAGTTGTTGAAAATTTGTTTAGTCATAAGAGCCAACTTTAGGAGCTTGGTTCTTTGAACATATACTTCAGTCGCTAATATTTTTTTTCTCACCATAGGCCTGTCCACCTCAAGATGAATACTCCATAGTCTACAGGAAGTGCCGCTCACAATTCACAGACCTCGATGGCTCCAAAAGATTTGGCATTAATACATGGCATGATGAGAGTGGAATTTATGCTAATTCTGAGGCAAAACAGAAACTCCATTCATTGGCTGGCAATCCTATTGTCCCTCGTTAAAAGCAATATATAAGCAATCCCAATCTCTGGCTAATGAAAACTAACAAATGTAGCAGTTAATAGATTCCTTTAATAAACACAGTCTTCCAATCTAAAGAAACATTTATATTCATTTTCTCGTGAGCTACCCTATAACTCCCCTGTACCTAAGCATCTTTCAAACATCTGTTTGTGCCAACTTTACTGAGTTGGGGCCAGAAAAGATCTTGAGATCAGCCAAGTCAGTGGGGACTGGTTTTGCAAGGATATTATCTAAAAGGAGGGGCAGTTTGCATTTTTTCAGTAAATCACAGCACTGCTTCACATTTCTCACGACAAATCCTTCTTTGTCAAAAAAAGAGAAAAAACTATGCTTCCTTCTATATAACATTTCAGTCAGAGAACAGAGACAGACTTTTCCCATTATCTTACATTAGTGACATGACTTGCTCCTTTTAGGTGATTTCAGGCTCACTGATCATGCTCTAGGTGTTAGTGAAACCTTGTTTAGGATCAAGCCGATGACTAAAACCTGTTTGCCATGATCATATGCTGCTCCGAGTGAATGCTCACGAAGAGGGAAGTCTGGAGATTGTGTTACCTTTTATTAGTATCAAAATCCATGCACAATGATTACAAGACACAGTGAGGAATCTGGGTCGTTTCATCAGCTGCTCCGCTGTTCCCAGTGGTGAACCAGCTCTCTGCCCGCTGTGTCTTTGGTTTTGCTTTGCAGATGTTGCACCTTCCTGCATTCTCCAGCACCTTTTGCAACTTAGGCTTCCCCCTCAAAACTTCATGCATTTCCCTGCACTGGGCTCTCCACCGGGTATCTGATCTGCTACACATGGTTGCTACACACAAACAGGCTTTTCCCAGAACCTTAATGCCTCTCTTGCATTCTGTCTGCCTATAAAACCAGCACCACATGAACAACACCAGACTCTTATGTCAGCTGGAATGACAGGCAGGCCTCCTTGAACCATGGCTGCAATGGCCTCTGGCTGGCTGTGTTGTTTACCCTTGGAAAATAATTTCCTTGTGACCCCTTTCCAGTAGGACACTCTTTCAGCTCCCTGCACAAACTGTTTTCAGGCTCTCTCCTTTTGAATAAAAGCCTTTAAATTGCATTTGCCCTTTTGTATTCTCGAGCCTCTTTCGAGTGAAGTCTTGCCATCAACACACTTCCTAGTGTCCCAGTGGGAAGAGTGATGCCTCTCTAATGACACTCATCTCTAACAATTACAGCTGCCTTGTCTGCAACATTAATGGACTTATTCTCTTTTCCTCACTAAACTATATGCTTTTTGCTTCTTTCTGTTCCAATGTTTTCTGACCCAGCTCTGAGAGAAGCTGACTGCAAGCAATGAATAACAAACATGTCATAGCCTGAATGTTATACTGTCTTCAAATTTATTTGCCTAATAAATTAATCCATTGTTCTAAAATTCAGTCTCACTAAAGTTTTCAGGCCACTAGTGAAACAAAGCCAGATTCTTGGCCAAAAAGTAAGACAAACAGCTTCTATTTAACTCTAGTTACCAAAATAGTCCTTGTTTTCTCCTGAGTTCTCATGAGCAAGGTCTTTGTGGGACAAAGTCTTATCTGTATTCTGGTCTTCTACATCTAACCATGACAGGATGGTCCATGAGTTCTGCCTATAGCTCCAAACCTGTCCAAATTCCTCCCACAGACCAGACTAAAGATTTAAAATCCCATGTTCAACTGCATGCTCATCCCAGCAATGACTCCACTACTCGTGACAATTTTCTTACTAGCTACTTTTTGTCTTGACAACATATTTGACAAAGCAAGTTAAGAAAAGAAAGATTCAGTTGGGCTTATGGATTTCAAGCATCACCGTCCATCATGGAGGGAGGCCTAGGTCCTTGCTGGTAGGAGTGGGGAGCATGAGCTTGCTCATATGGCTATGAACCACGTGTGATTTTAATGAGAAATGTTTCCTATAGCCTCATGTATTTGAATACTTGGTCCCCTGTTGCTGGTGCTGGCTAGGAAGGTAGGAAGCTTTTAGGAGGTAGAGCTACTAGAGGAAACAGACCGCTGGGGGTAACCTTTAAGGTTTTATAACCAGGCTCCACTTCCTATTCTGTCTGTGCTTCTGGTGTGTGAATACAACGTGATAAGCCAGCCAGTCCTGTTCCGGCCACTATGCCTTGCCTGTTTGTCACTACACTTTCCCCATCATGATAGACTGTATCCCTCCTGGAATTATAAACCGTTTCCTTCTTTAAGTTGCCCTTTCTCAGGTATATTGTCAAGAAAACAAAAAGAAACTAATAAATACCAGGAGGCAGAGACCACAGACATGAACTAAAGCTTAGATATAAATTCAAAGGTAATTGTGAGCTAAGCTACAACTCCCAAAGTCTCCATCGCCTTCACATAGTACCACGAGTGGTAGATGGAGAAGAAACCTGAACCTGCATTGGGGTCATTTCAGATTAAATCCATAGCATCCTGAATCTCAGAGTGTTTTGAACAATACTGTAGCTATGGGATGTTTTGAACAATGAGAGGCTGGTTATGAGATGGGTATGGACCCTTTGAGGACCAGGGGCAGCACAGTCTAAAGAGATGTGTTTAGATATCAAGTTGACAAGGGGTGGGCTTATGATTCTGAATTTTCATTGTCAATTTGATTTAGAAGTGATTAGGAAATCAGTAAAGCATACCTCTGGGTCTTTGTGCATATTCTATAAGGAACTAGGGAACTTTGTGAATGTAGGCCGTGCCTTCTGATAAGATGAGGAAGGGCAAAAAGCTTCTGTGCAGACATCCTCATTCTGCTTGCTTGCTGCCATAATGTGAGTTGTTCTCCATGCCATCCCTATGACAGTGTGTGGAAACTTCTGACACTCTGAGGCCAAATAAAAAAAATGCCTCTTTTGATTTGTACATATATTATTCTATCACAGTGACACAAACCCATTCTTGAGGGCAGACTACTCTGATAACAGTTTCATTATCTTAATGAACTTTTAATATTATAGCATTAGCAATTAAACTCCAACATAAATTTGGGAGGGAACCTTCAAAGAGAGAAGGCAAATAGTCTGAAGTCTTAGTGTGCAACATGTGAGAAGATATATTTATAAGGGAAAATAATGACTCAACTTTGACAACTTTTGAAGATAAGAGAATTACTTTACTCTCCTGAGTTTGTTAATACTAATGAACACTGTAGTTAAAAGTTAATTATGAGATCTTAAAAATACCAATCTACATATTTCACTTTTTATAATCTTTATTGTCCTAGAATCCTTTGTAGAGTTTCCAGGGCACTAACTAGAACAA